CTAGGGGAAACTTTTAGAGGGGGTTTTAATTATATTTTAATTAGACCAAATTCAAATATTTCCCTTTTAATTAATTTTTAAACTTGTAGTGTTATTTTTGTATTTTTACCCGATTGTTAGCCGCCCTGAGTCCGCAAGGAGAAGGGCGGGATATAAATTTAAATAAATAAATAAATAAATAAATAAATAAATAAATAAACTCCCAGAAGTGTGGACCAACTCCCAGAATTCAACTCCCAGAAGTGTGGATTTCAGCTCCCAGAATTCAACTCCCAGAAGTGTGGACTTCAACTCCCAGAAGTGTGGACTTCAACTCCCAGAAGTGTGGACTTCAACTCCCAGAAGTGTGGACTTCAGCTCCCAAAAGTATGGACTTCAACTCCCAGAAGTGTGGACTTTAACTCCCAGAATTCAACTCCCAGAAGTGTGGACTTCAGCTCCCAGACTTCAACTCCCAGATGTGTGGACTTCAACTCCCAGAAGTATAGACTTCAACTCCTAGAAGTGTGGACTTCAACTCCCAAAAGTATGGACTTCAACTCCCAGAAGTATGGACTTCAACTCCCAGAAGTGTGGACTTTAACTCCCAGAATTCAACTCCCAGAAGTGTGGACTTCAGCTCCCAGACTTCAACTCCCAGATGTGTGGACTTCAACTCCCAGAATCAACTGCCAGAAGTGTGGACTTCCAACTCCAGGAATTCTATTCTGGGGATTCTGGGAGTTGGAGTCCACCCAGCTTAAAGTTGCTGAGATTGAGAAATTCCGTCCTAGAACAAGGACCCAAAACAGAGGACACGTATGAACGTTAGATACCTTTGCATCCAGCAGAAGATTATCGGGTTTAATATCTCTGTGAATAAACCCTAGTTGGTGAATGGCATCAATAGCAAGCACGGTTTCAGAGATATAAAACTGTGTTTCTTCCTCAGATAGTGTATCCTTCTTCATGAGCAAAGTCATCATATCACCTGAATCAGGGGGAACAGGACATAGTACTGTATTTGGCTAGTGTCGAAAAGCGAGAAAGACACACTTGAGTTACTTCTGAGCAGCTTCCTTTATTGCTCCTCACCTACAGACAGAATCTTGCCAAACTAAAGCAGACCCCTTGTGTCATTAAATATATAGTTTGAGAATTGCTAGGGAAGAGCTGTCTTATCTCTTTTTCTCCCAGCCAAGGTATCTGAACTTCGCTGTCTCTTGGTTGTCTGGAATGCAGCCCCTCTCTTCTGGGAATCCAGACTACATTCCACCACAGCGGGTTTTTCGATATAGGAAAAGGGAGTAAAAATGATACAACCTCCAGTATTCCAATAATTACTATGATAATATGGCCAGGATCATAGAACATAGAATAATAAGATTGGAAGGGATCTTGGAGAACTTCTAGTCCAGGGGTAGGCAACCTTGGCTCTTTTATGACTTGTGGACTTCAACTCCCAGAATTCCTGAGCCAGCCATGCTGAGGGGAAAGGGAGAGGTTTCTAAGCTGAGCCATGCTGGCTCAGGAATTCTGGGAGTTGAAGTCCACGAGTCATAAAAGAGCCAAGGTTGCCTACCCCTGTTCTAGTCCAACCCCACAGGAGATCCTATACTGTTATGGACAAATGGCTGCCCAATCTCTTCTTCAAAACCTCCAGTTGTGGAGCACCAACAACTTCTGGAGGTAAGCCATTCCACTCATTAAATTGTGGAAATTAATCACAAAGACACTTCAGTAAGGGAGAAGGAGAAGGCATTCCAGAAGTGTTATATGGTCCAGCTCCATTAAAAAAAAACCCATTGCTACCAATATTCTCGGTTGATTTTTTAGATTCATAGCAGATTTATCTTAATATTACTGGGGCACAGACTCCAAGTCAACGCAAATAAAATATTTCCCACCATTAAGAGGGAGGCAAAATGGCTGCCAGGACTGAGGATCTGACAGGCGACACAAATCCTGGCCTTGGGAGAATGGCGGTTTTTCACTGACAATATTCAACTGAAATAATTTCACTGAATTATTTTACCTCCTGGAAGAAATTCCATAATCAGGTAAAGGTTGTGTTTGTCCTGAAAACTGTAAAACATCTTCACGACCCAGGCACCGTCCGCTTCAACCAGGATGTCTCTTTCTGCTCGTATATGAGCTACCTGCGAAGAGGAACAGGGCAAATCAAATCCAAGCTGAAGGTTAAAAAATGGATCTGCCTCTCCAGCAAATTGGTACATAAACAGCTTTCCAATGCAATGAAGCTTTTATTGCTGTTAGGTGTAAGGCGGCCTTTCCTAACTCACTGTTCCTCAGTAGAGGTTGGACTACTCACTGCAACCCTCATCAGATTCGTCTCCTATCCTCCAAAGCTGGAGATATCTGGCTCTACTGATAGAAGAGGATATTTTTAGCTCAGGGTTGAACTGTGAGGTTCTTGGTGCTCTCTGAGTTTGGTTGCTTTCTTGGAAACGTTTCATTAAAGTGTAAACCCCACTCCCTTCTAGCACTGATGATGTTACCTAGTTGGGCTATGAAACATTTGCAAGAAACCCATCAAGCTCAGAGAGCACCAAGGAGCCCTCAATCCTCTTTTTCCTCTTTCTTCCTTCCTTCTTCCCTCCTTCTCTTCTAGCACTGATGATGTTACACGCCAAGCAGAGAGCATCAAGGATCTCTCTCCCTCCCTCCCTAGCACTGATGATGTTATCTAGTTGGGCCATGAAACATTTGCAAGAAACCCATCAAGCTCAGAGAGCACCAAGGAGCCCTCATGTAAACCACGAGCTACAAATATTCTCCACTATCAACAGTCCTCCGCTCTGCAAACCCCTCTCCCTTCTAGTACTGACAATGTTACCTAGCTGGGTCATGAAACGTCTGCAAGAAAACCACCAAGTTCAGAGAGCATCAAGGACGCCCTNTAATAATAATAATAATAATAATAATAATAATAATAATAATAATAATAATAATAATAATAATAAAGTTGGAAGGGACCTTGGAGGTCATCTAGTCCAACCCCCTGCTCAGGCAGGAAGCCCTATACCATTTCAGACAAATGGCTGTCCAGTCTCTTCTTAAAAACTTCCAGTGTTGGAGCATTCAATGCTTCTGGAGGCAGGTTGTTCCACTGGTTAATTGTTCTCACTGTCAGGAAGTTTCTCCTTAGTTCTAGGTTGCTTCTCTCTTTGGTTAGCTTCCATCCGTCGCATCTTGTCCTGCCTTCAGGCGCCTTGGAGAATAGCTTGACCCCCCTCTTCTTTGTGGCAGACTCTTCTTTGTGTTATCATGTCCCCCCTAGTCCTTCTTTTCATTAAACTAGACATACCCAATTGTGGAAACCTTTTGGGAAAAGTGTATTTTTGAGGTTTGATGGCTAATAACACCACTTTTTTGGGGGGAGTAGTACCATAAAATTATATGTCAATGAAAAGATAATTTAATCAAAAATGTAATGCAACATAGTTTGTTCAATTATCTGTACTGTATTCTATGAAAAGTTATAGCCCAATAACCAGAAAAAGGAAGCACAACTTGCTTAGGTTGATCTCAGGTAGCTTTCCTTCATCTGATTGTAGCCAATGAGCATGAGTGTTTAGAGAGCCAATCGGGTGTCATCTTGTTTTGACAATGAGCCAATCAGATCACAGTAGGATCCAGTGATTGATGTCCTGTATTAAAGCTGAGAGGAGGACATTTGTCACTGTGTTATGTGATGGCTATCAAGTTGGTTGGGGTTTTTTTGTGTTCTTTCATTTAGTGAGCTTGTAAAACGTCACAAAATTAAAGTCATGGTGCAAAGAGTTGACTGGATGCCCAGAAAGCGATGTAAAATAGTATTATTAAGTGAACAAGGCTACAGTTATAAAGAAATTAGAAGAAAAATGGGTGGAAACTTAACCAAAAGTGGCATTTCTACTGTACACTTTTCCCAAAAGGTTTACACAATTTTGCCCACTGCTGTACAATTCACTGCAAAAAAATATGTCTTTCAGACACTGGTTTGAATGTGCTTTGGAGTTATATTTGGAAACAAAAAAGTCATACTTGCTCTTTTTCCAGCATGTCAGCTTTTCTCAATATCTTCATGGCGTAAATATGACCCGTGTCTTTTTTCTGAACCAAGCGAACCTAAGGATTTAAAAGAAGGAAACTCTGAATCAGGGACTTGCAAGTTTTGAAGCACTAATTCAAAATGAGCATGAAGTTGTCCCCTCCAGTTGTTCTCAAGCTTAAAGGAAATGTTGGCATCCAAGGCCATTTTTTCCTATCTTTAGGACCTTCAGTTCCAGAACATCCAGATGTTTCTGTAATTCAAGATCCCTGCAAGCTCCATCCATCAACAAAGTCATCTTTGAAGACAATTAGCCAAGCCAAATGGGAAGTAGCAGTTAAAGGCACAATGCAAACCAAACACCGATCCTTTAGAGATAAGATCATCTTTATTGTCATTTTTTTTATTGTGGGCACACTGGCCCACATTAAAAATGAAATTCTATTGCCTGCTCTCAAAAGAAAGTATATATCTACCTACAGATATACATAACACACATATACACGTGCTATATACATACATATATATGTTCTGCTTCCGATATCATGAAGGAATTCACTTTATTTATTTATCCATCCAATTTTTATTGGGTCTTGTTCATGTATATGCACTTTGGACAGAGGTGATGGGTAAATCATATAATTAATGGGAAAAATAAATAAGTACACAAACAAAGAAACAACAATAACAAAAAAAACCAAGTCTGAAGTTGGCAAGTGAAGCCTATTCTGATATATGACCTTGCCTAGAGAAGCAAAGAGTCCCAGTTAGGTTAAAAATCAGAAATCTTTAAGGCGATGTGACAGAATAAGAGATAACAGAATAACAGAGTGGAAGGGACCTTAGAGGTCTTCTAGTCCAGCCTCCTGCTCAGGCAGGAGACCCTGTACCATTTCAGACAAGTGGCTATCCAGTCTCTTCTTAAAAAAGGAAGACTAATGGGAATTAGCTAATATTAATTAACTAATTAACTACCACTGTTCAACATCTGAAGGAAAAGCCATAAAAAAAATAAAAGATCTGATGGTTTTGTTCTCCTTGAAGAACGGTTGAAGAATTAGGTAGGTCTAGTCTACTGAAAAGAAGGACTAGGGGTGATATGATAGCAGTCTTCCAGTATTTGAGGGGCTGACACAAAGAAGAGGGGTCCACCTATTCTCCAGAGCACCTGAAGGCAGGACAAGAAGCAACGGATGGAAACTAACAAAGGAGAGAAGCAGCCTAGAACTAAGGAGAAACTTCCTGACAGTGAGAACAATTAACCAGTGGAACAACCTGCCTCCAGAAGTTGTGGGTGCTCCATTACTGCAGGCTTCTAAGAAGAGACTGGACAACCACTTCTCTGAAATGATATAGGGACTCCTGCTTGAGCAGGGGGTTGGACTAGAAGACCTCTAAGACAGTGGTGGGATTCAAATATGTGAACAACCGGTTCTCTGCATGGATGCCGTTTCCAGAAGAGGCCTGGGCAACAAAAAATTAGCTACTGGTTCTGCTGAAGTGATGCGAACTGGCTGAATCCCACCCCTGCTCCAAGATCTAACTCTGTTATTCTGTTATTCCTTCAAAAACTTCGATTCAGTGATCCTGCCAAGTTGTCACGAAGATATCCCGGAAAATAATTCTCAAGCCCGACGTCCGTTATCACTAACCTCGCCAAAAGCGCCTCTTCCGATCACTTTCAGAGATTCGAAGTCATCGAGGCCTAGCCTTGTTCTCTTCAGCCTCAGAAATTCAGTTTCTTTGCGGGCATGTTGGGATCTTCGGAGCTTTTTCTGAGGGCAACCAAAGCATCGTTAAGGACTGCCGTACTTTGAAATCATTTTTAAACCACAAGGTGGCATGATATACTAATTTAATTCAACACGAGGATATTTCTTGTCCCGTGCTCTGAACAAAACAAGTCTGAGTTTACATTGCTATAAAGAAGAAATAATATCACGTGCAATCAAGCAAGTCCCGACATCGCAATTTAGGAAGAAATATGATAGCATCGCGTTAACAGCAATAATTAATAACTACATATAATTTGGAGGAAGTGTATATATAGCTCCTTGTTTTTCTTATTAAACATTCATATATATATATATATATATATATATATATATATATATATATATATATATATATATATATATATATATATATATATATATATATATATATATATATATATATATATATATATATATATATATATATATATATATATATATATATATATATATATATCAATAATTCATTCTGTGATCTACGGCTGTAATAGAAAGCGATGCATTTGTAAAACTTCTACAAATGGGTAAACTGTTAACTGTACAAAAGGATAATCTAACTTGGTTTAATTTGGCTGTCATAGACACTGTTTATAGCTTGTGTATTATTCCTTGACAGAAGGACTGTTAATATTTTAATATTTTAATTTTTCTGGAAAATACAGGTAGTCCATAACTTGTGATCACTGGTCCCAATCATTGTAAGTTGAGGATTATCTGTGTATATATAATATGAGGAAATTATCTTGTAAATGTTAATGTTTACATGGCATAAATGTTCTAACCAGGGAGCCCTTATCACTATTTTGTTTATTTACCTACAAAGTATTTATCACACTGCAGTTCCTTTAAGAGAAAGCCTGTGTGTGTGTATCTGAAAATATTCTGATTTATTTTATTTTTTTTGCTTGCCCTTTCTCCCATTTACTGCTTCCTTCTGTTGACTTTTTCTGGCTGATGTTATTAAAACAAACACACACAAAAATCTGCCTGCAACTCATGAAATCACTAAGTACTGTACCAATCCCAAACAAACAAAACTATAAAAACTTCCAGCTTCGTGAGTGTCTGAATTACCTCTTCATCCGCTAAGCCTTCTTTCTCCATGGCTACTTCTAGTTTCTTCTGCCTAAATTGGAGGTAGACACACACACACAAAAATAACCCATCACATATTATGAAACAATCCACATTTTTTGCATGCCAAAACAACTAGACACAAAGACAGTTCCCCCCCCCCGCCATCACTCTGCTAAACACGTAATTCCCACAGTACTATCTTATTTATGCCTAAGGATATCTAACCATGTGGTAGGACTGTATTACTATTATCCTTCTCATCTTTCCTATTACCGACTCCTATTGGTATCTTATGACTTTCATTTTGTTGCTTGTATCTTATGAGACATGATTGTATCTTATGATTTATGATTTAAATCCGGAGACAAATTCCTTGAGTGTCCGATCACGCTTGGCCAATAAAGGATATTCTAATCTATTTTAGAACTGAAAATAAACGGTCGTTTCACTTCAAATACGGAAACCTGGGTCCAAAGTTTGAGTTACACAGCACAAGCCAAGTTAATAATTATGGAGATCACCACTTAAGGAAAAGAGAGTTAGATTCTTTCTCATTTCAAAATTCTACCTTTGTTGCATTATTCAAGTTCTCATCCAGATCTCTTTATTGGTACAATAGTGGCCACAATTGTGGAAACCTTTTTGGGAAAAGTGTATTTTTGAGGTTTGATGGCTAATAACACAACTATTTTTGGAATAATACCATAAAATTATATATCAATGGAAAGATAATTTAATCAAGAATGTAATGCAACAAAGTTTGTTCAATTATCTGTACTGTATTCTATGAAATGTTATAGCCAAATAACCAGAAAAAGGAAGCACAACTTGCTTAGGTTGATCTCAGGTAGCTTTCCTTCATCGGATTGTAGCCAATGAGCACGAATGTTTAGCGAACCAATCGGGTGTCATCTTGTTTTGGCCATGAGCCAATCAGATCACAGTAGGATTCAGTGATTGATGTCATGTATTGAAGCTGAGAGGAGGACATTTGTCAGTGTGTTATGTGATGGCTATCAAGTTGGTTGGGTTTTTTTTGTGTTCTTTCATTTAGTGAGCTTGCAAAACGTAATACAATTAAAGTAATGATGCAAAGAGTTGACTAGTTGCCCAGAAAGCGATGTAAAATAGTATTATTAAGTGAACAAGGCTACAGTTATAAAGAAATTAAAAGAAAAATGGGTGGAAACTTAACAAAAAGTGTCATTTCTACTGTACACTTTTCCCAAAAGGTTTACACAATTTTGGCCACTACTGTACTTGAGATGGGGGAGGGGAAGGGATTTATTTATTTATAACTACAACTTGGCAAAATTTCTCCCAACACTTCCGTGATGCTAAACCAAAACCAAGAAAACAGGAAAGAGAGACATTGTAGGATTCAAGCATCACATTAAGTCACAGCCCACGTCGCCATGATGGATTGAAGGAAGGTAAATGGCTGCAGCCATTCGACAATGAAATCAAGCAAACCGTATTGTGGCTTAGTGGAACGTCTGAACCCAGGCATCATAGTCTGTACCGAAGTTTCCCAACTTGGCAACTTTAAGACGTGTGGACTTCAACACCCAGAATTCTGGTGTCCTGGTTCTGACAGATGAAACTCTTCAAAGAACTTCGAGGCATTGTTTACCTTAAAGAATCTTTATTTGAGAAGCATAGCTTCGGCACTAACACAGTCGAAGCCAAAAACTGAGTTCCCCTCTCCTGGGCACATAGTATCAAAGCACAATTCCCTCCTCCAATTAACAGTCATAAATCACATTCTCCAATTAGTTTGAAATGCAGGCTTCCCCTCCAGTTCTTCAATCCGGCCATTCCTTATCATCTCTTATTTCAATAACCTTGGTTCTCACACTAGTTACAGTATTGTTATGTCTAACTAAACTCTCATGCACATTCCTCCCCCCAGCATCACCTAACTCTAACTCTAACTCTAAGAGTAAAACATAAGAAGAAAATGGTTGCATCTCCAACTGTTGGCAAAGCAAAATATCCAATGTTAGTAGCGTTGACATCTGGATGTTGAAGTCCACATGTCTTAAAGTTGCCAAAGTTGAGAAGCACTGATCTGTACATTATGCAGGTAAGTCTCCACTTAACAACAGTTCGTTTAGTAACCGTTCGAAGTTACAACGGCACTGAAAAAAGTGACTTAGGACCATTTTTCACCCTTATGACCGTTGCAGCATCCCCGTGGTCATGTGATTTATATTCGTATGCTTGGCAGCTGACTCACATTTATGACGGTTGCAGTGTCCCTTCCGACCAGCAGTCCAGGGGGAAGCCATATTCACTTAACAGCTGTGTTATTAATTGACAACTGCACGCAATTCACTTGACAGACGTGGCAAGAGAAGCCGTAAAATGGGGCCAAACTCACTTAACCAATGTCTCACTTAGCAACATAGTTTTTGATGTAAATATAAGGATGGAACTTTTTATCACATGTGGTGGCAATGCCCTAAAGCAAGGAAATACTGGGAACAGATAAGGAGATGGCTACAGGAGATAACAGGAGAACAAACTGAATTTAAAGCTGAATTATTTCTATTAGGAATAATAAATCAAAAGATAAAGAAGCAACTCCAATATATTATTGTACACATAGTAACAGCAGCACGTATTGTCTATGCTCAATGCTGGAAACTTGAAAATATACCAGCTAATGATATGATTATTCATAAGATATTAGAATGTGCCGAGATGTATAAGCTTACGCTAGAAATGAAAGGCAAGGAAGAAACAGAATTTTATGAGGTGTGGGATAAGTGGTATAATTGGTTAGAACAGAGAAACAAAAATGTATAGTAATAAATGTAAATAACTGTAAGAAATAGACGACACAGTACTGTTAAAAAAAATGTTTAATGTTTTGTAAATTGGAAAAATGAAAAATTAAAATTAAAAAAAAAAGTGACATAGTTTTTGGGCTCAATAGTGGTCATAAGTTGAGGAACACCTGTAGCTAAGTGTATCTATCATACCAAGCATTTAATTCAGCTTGATACGAGACCAGGAAAAAAAATTAAGGCATCAGGGGAAAAAAATTAAGGTATCTTTTACATCTTGCTGCAGTTTTCTTCCAAATTTATTTCCAATATATTTGCAAAACATTTTTATCTAGTTAATTTCTCTGCCATTCAGCCATGAAAAAGGGGACACGCTATTTAAGGGAATAAACCACTTGCTAACCAGATATGTTTTAAAACTAATTTTTGCTAGGAAATATTTATTTCTGTATTTATAGATCTGCCGTAACTTGCAATCCAAGATCCCAGATAGCTTGCAAATGCAGGTAGTCCTCAACGTACGATGATAATTGAGCCGAAAATATCTGTTGCTATGTGAGACATTTGTTAAGTGCCTCGTTTTACAGCCCCTCTTGCCACAGATGTTAAGTGGATCACTTCAGTGATTAAGTTAATAACACGGTTAAGTGGATTTGGCTTCCCCTTTGAATTTGCTTGTGAGAAGGTCGCGAAAAGGGGAACACGTGATTCCGGGACACTGCGACCGTCATAAATATGAGTCGGCTGCCAAGCATCTGAATTTTGATCACATGACCCATGGGGGGATGCTGCAACAGTTGTAAATGTGAAAAAATGGTCCTAAGTCACTTTTTTCAGTGCCGTTGTAATTTGAAACGGTCACTAAATGAACTGTTGTAAGTTGAGGACTTACCTATACAAAGAAAGGGGCAACAATGACAAAAATGTAATGGTGTCCAACATAGATAATTGCATCTCGGACAAAAAAGTTTCCATCACTTGAAAATGATAAGTTAAAAAAAATAAATTTAGGGGAAGAACAACCACTAAGAAGTCCATCAAGAAGACATCAGCTGAGCTTCGGAGGTCTTCTTCATCTTGGATGTTCCTTCAGAGGAGCTCTCAAAACAGAGAAGACCTTAAAGATCAGGTTGATTAAGTAGAGAAGAGGGCAGATCCTTCTTAATTACAAGTATCAAAACTGGCATTTGGAAGCAGCAGTGGATCACGCAACTTGACTGGATGTGATCACAAATTAGGCTAGATCTGCCGCAGCTTCCAATCGAATTTCGAAGCCAACTCTTCACGCAAAAGGCATTGTGAAAGTCTAAACTGGAGATTGCCAAAGGTGGCCAAATCACCTCCACCCAGATAAGGTTTGCAGCTGGCAAACAAGGTGTAAGATACGCTTTGTCAACAGAAGTGTTTGAAGAGTAACAAGGAGAAACTTCCTGACAGTTAGAACAATTAACCAGTGGAACAACCTGCCTCCAGAAGCGGTGAATGTTCCAACGCTGGAAGTTTTTAAGAAGAGACTGGACAGCCATTTGTCTGAAATGGTATAGGGTTTCCTGCCTGAGCAGGAGGTTGGACTAGATGACCTCCAAGGTCCCTTCCAACTTTTTATTATTATTATTATTATTATTATTATTATTATTATTATTATTATTATTATTATTATTATTATTATTATTATTATTATTATTATTACACTAAAAGAAAATTAACATTATACACGATTCTCCCCAATTAAAAACAAACGGTAAGGGCTTTTTTCTGTTTGCTGCTTGAGTAAAGTCTCTTTAGACTTGAACTCGTCTCCTCATAACTTCGCAGATCCATTCCAATACGGTGCAGTTTTCTTGGCAACCATATGAAAATGCTCCATCTTTGGAGATTTCCTCCCCTCCCCCCCCAGTTTTCCTGGTGGTCTCCTATCCAAGCATTAACCAGGTCTAACCCAGTTTATTTATTTCTTGGATGTATATTCCATCCTTCTTCCAGTACTTCCTTTTTCCATTTCTCCCTACAACAAGCCCCAAGGCAAATGAAATAAGAAAGAATGGCCCAAAGTCACTTAGTAGTCTTCTGTGGCTGAGGGTCTCTTCAGGAGAACTTGTGTCCACCAAGCTCTTCTCAAACATCTTAGCAATATACTAGTCAGGGTTCTACATTTTAGGTGCTGCCTACTTGTTCAGCTTATTTTTGGGGGTTCCAACTTTTCACATTGTGATGTTGGGTATTCTGCATTATTAGCCCACCAGGAGGACTTTGGTGAGGAAAAAGCTGGGGTATAAATAAATAAACGATTGCTCTCGAGTCCCATGGGCAGTGGGTAACCATGGCCTTCAAGAGAACTTCCTTCCAAGTAAGGGTGGAGTCCAAGGAAGCCTTTGGCTGCCTCCATTTATGAGGACATCTGCAGGCAAATCAATTATGATAGAAGAGAGTATTGTACTAGTTCTCCTTCTCCTCCTCCTCTCCACATACCCCTCTCCCTTCTAGCACTGATGATGTTACCTAGTTGGGTAATGAAACGTCTGCAAGAAAACCATCAAGCTCAGAGAGCACCAAGGACCCCACAGTCTTCCTCCTCCTCCTCCGCCTCCTCCTCTTCCTCCTCTCTGCAAACTCCACTCCCTTCTAGCACTGATGATGTTACCTAGTTGGGTAATGAAATGTCTGCAAGAAAACCATCAAACTCAGAGAGCACCAAGGACCCCCTCATGTAAACCATCAGCTACAAATATTCTCCTCTATTAACAGTCCTCATCTCTGCAAAACCCTCTCCCTTCTAATACTGATGATGTTACCTAGTTGGGTCATGAAACGTCTGTAAGGAAACAACCAAGCTCAGAGAGCACCAAGGACCCCACAGTCCTCTTCCTCCTTTTCTCCTTCCCCTCCTCCTCCATTCCACAAACTCCCACTGTCTCCTAGCACTGATGACGTTAGCCAGTTGGGTCATGAAACGTCTGCAAGAAAATCAGCCAAGCTCAGAGAGAGCACCAAGGACCCCACACAGTTCAACACGGAGCTACAAATATTCTCTTCTATCATAACTGATTTGCCTGAAGAGGCCCACATAGATGGAGGTGGCCAAACGCTTCCTTGGACTCCATCCTTACTTAGAAGGAAGTTCTCTTGAAGGCCATGGTTAAGTTCAGAGAGCCCCAAGGAGCCCACAACTCAATTCTGCTTCCCACCAGCCCGTTCTTGTCCCCAACCAAAGGGCGACCCCCCGACCGGAGAACCCCATGCCACGTCTACACCTCAACAAAGATTTGATATCAAAGCAGGAGGGGTCCTCTAATACCTGGTTTCTCTTTCTTCATGCTGCACGATGAGGTTGCTATAAAAGTTCTCCAGCGTGAGCTTGGCCACCGTGACTCGCTCGCGGGTGTGGTTGCTCATAGGAAAAGGCGTTGCAGTCCCTGCAGTCATTGCCATAGTAACCTGCATCGAAACAGGGCCCATAAAATAATAATTACTCAACGGAATAAAAATTGTTCCTTGTCTTCTCCTCCTTCTCCTCCCAAATCCAGGGTGGGAATACAGAGTTCCTTCCAATGTTGTTTGGCAAGGTGACACGTTGTCTCTCACACACCTCTAGCCATCTGAAATGAATAAGCCCAGCTTGAATCATGCAGGAAGCAATGCTTTTTCCCTTTTTTTGGGGGGGGGGGGACCTAAGCAATTTGTGTTAATATTTTCAGCCTAGATCAGGGGTAGGCAACCTTGGCTCTTTTATGACTTGTGGACTTCAACTCCCAGAATTCCTGAGCCAGCGCGGGGGAACTATCGCCCCTTCATGACTTGTGGACTTCAACTCCCAGAATTCCCAAGCCAGCATGGGGGAATTATGGCCTCTTCATGACTTGTGGACTTCAACTCCCAGAATTCCTGAGCCAGCGTGGGGGAACTATGGCCCCTTCATGACTCGTGGACTTCAACTCCCAGAATTCCTGAGACAGCGTGGGGGAACTATGACCCCTTCATGACTTGTGGACTTCAACTCCCAGAATTCCTGAGACAGCCATGCTGAGGGGAAAGGGAGAGGCTTCCAAGCTGAGCCATGCTGGCTCAGGAATTCTGGGAGTTGAAGTCCACGAGTCATAAAAGAGCCAAGGTTGCCTACCCCTGGCCTAGACTCCAGACTGCAGCAGCCTTGGGGTCCCGCAGAGTAATGCCAAAAAGCCCTCGGACAATTGCCAGGTATTTAGAGATGGTCCTCGACTTACAAGAGTTCGTTTAGTGACCGTTTGAAGTTTGAACGGCTCTGAAAAAAGTGACGTACGACCGTTTTTCACGCTGACAGCCAATACAGCCTCCCCATGGTCACGTGATCAAAATCCAGACGCTTGGCAACCAACTCATATTTACGACCGTTGCAGCGTCCCGGGAATCACGCGATCGGCTTTTGCAACCTGCTGACCAGCAAAGTAAACGGGGGAGCCACTTAACAACCGGGTTACAAATTTAGCAAGTTCAGCGATTCACTTAACAACGGTGGCGAGAAAGGTCAACCGAATAAAAATTTAACAACTGCAGTTGTTCAATTACTAACGCGGTTGTTAAGTGGATCCGGTTTGTCCGTGGACTTGGCTTGTCAGAAGATCGCAAAAGGGGATCCCCCGGGGACACTGCGACCGTCATAAATGCGAGTCGGTTGTCAAGCATCCGAATGTAAATCACCTGACCCTGAGGATGCTGCAATGGTCGTAAGTGTGAAAAATGGTCGTAAGCCACTTCAGTGCCGCTGTACCTTTGAACGGTCACTAAATGAACTGTTGTAAATCTAGGACTACTTGTAAACATCGCTCCCTTCCTTCGATCAATCAACCCGCCTTTAGCAGCTAGTTTTGATTTGCTGCTAGCCAGCAAATAGATCTCAACAACATAAATCGAGTTGCTTGCTATTTTATTTTATTTTTAAAAAATCTTGAAACAGAAACAGAAGGGAACATTCAGGCCCCCCCTCCCAAAACAAGCAGCCTGAATATAATGGCCTTGTATTTAAACACCAGCCGTGTAGCCACAGCTGGGAACTCACGGCATGCAAAACAGATTAACAGCCCCATGGAGCACCAAACACATGATCAAAACAGTTGGCCAAAATGAGAAAGTTGTTTTGGAAAAGTCACAACTGGAGGAAAACAATCCTCTATTCTCTCGGCCAGTCCTAGCTGGGTTAGGGAATCCTACCATCACCACCCAAGCAGTCCAATTTGCAAAGAAGGGACTATTGATAAAGCTGAAGTTTAAAATGCTTCCCAATTTTATTGGAGAGGAACGGAAAGCATAATCCTGAATGAATTCTGGGACTGCTTTCATGGCTGCCTAAAAGGGACTGAAATCCACAAACCGGGCCCCGTTTTTATTTCCAGACGAAAAGACTCTCTGGAGAGGAAGCATCTGCAAAAACATGACTCAGATCTTAATTCATAAGAGAGAAAAAAAAAGGTGATATAAGGAGATAGCGTGCCCTGGAGAAAAGCAATTTAGGGCTTTGGAAACTTGTCCTTTAGTCACGCCCTCTGGACCCCAATTCTCCTGTCTGTGGAGCGTGAAGTGCGGGCAAACACACAAAACCACGCACCCTCCGGTCTGCAGAAAAACCTCTCTCCACGGAGCCGGTCCCTGGTGCCCAAAAGGTAGGGGAACTCTGCGCTAGAGACACTAACTCAATGCCAGAAACAGAGGTGACCCCAAAAAATTGAGACTGCATTACAAAGTGCAGGTAACCCACAACTTACAACAGTTCATTTAGTGACCGTTCAAAGTTACCACACCAACTGAAAATTTAACGAGTGCAGGATTCGCTTAACAACCACGGGAGAAAAGGGCGTAAAACAGGGCAAAGCTCGCTTAACAAATGTCTCACTTAGCAATGTAAATTTGGGGCTCTGTTCTGGTCGTAAGCCAAGGGCTGCCTGTGCCATTCATCACGGTAGGTGTCACCAACAAGCTGAGCAGGGCTAAGTGGCTGAGTTTGCCAGCGTTGGAACTTTGCAACTGCTAGGAACAAGCTGACAATCCCAAACCTTTGCCAGGATTCTACCTTCTTAATGCAGCCATTTGCCACTGCATCTGTTCCAAATGCACAGGTTGTGCTTTCTAACAGAAAGAGACAACACAGCTTACTGTTTGGGTTCTCCATCTGCTGTCTGTTTTCCAAAGGTCCCTATCCAAATTCCCGGAGAGGCACATAACCTGGTCTACTACCAGCTCTTCCTAACGCACGAGGATGTTAAATCGAGAAGACGTTAACCCAGAGTACAGGTAAGTCCTCAACTTACCACAGTTTGTTTAGCAACCGTTCAAAGTTACAACAGCCACTGAAAAAAGTGACTTAGGACTGTTTTTCAGTTACCACTGTTGAAGGAAAAGTTTTCATCATGGTTCAGTCCAAGCCCACCCAAACTCTAAGACAGGACATAATAGGATTAATCCACCACCATCAGAATACCAGAAAGGCACACTCAGACTCAGGTCAAAGTTCATGACACAGGAACAACTCCAAACAAAAGCCCAAGAAGGTATAAAAACCCGCTCCCTACTACATGTGCTCTCTCTCTTTTTCCCCCCCCAGGGCCATCTTTCTGTCTGGCTCTCCTCTTCAATAAACTACAACCTTATTTCTAAAGCAGTCTCCATGTTCGTTTATTCCCAGCTTGGACTGGACCCTGATGAAGATTTTTCTTTCAACAGAGTGGGGTTTTATGCATCTGAAAAATGGAATTCCTGTTTTCCTTTTTATATGGACCTCCCTGGACAATTAATGTCAAAGATGGTTTTCCATCTCAAAGCCAGAGAAACATTCCACAAATGAAAGTGATCTTCAGAAAACAGCAATCTTTTCCTTCTTGGGGCAATGCAGAATATGAACCATGAATGGAAACAACACAGGCAGGTACAATGATTGACCCAAAACAATGAATCAGACAAAAGAGGTATGACTTTGGGTGACTTCATCCCATCGGTCAAGTTCTCTGCTGACAACCTCAATGCAAGGAAGCTGCACCCAAACTCTAGAGTAACGTGAGTTGCTCCAGACAGATGTTTCATCAGCTACTAAGCCAAATAAGGAATTAATTTAGTGCAGACAAGTCATACGTAATGTTTTGGCCAGAATTACTTTCCCAGCCTTTAGCCAGCAAGCAAAGTCTCTTAAAATAACCTTTCCCGTAATAATTCAATCCTGAGTGAAGTATTAGAAGAGCTTCAGAAAGGAACAATGACCATTTTATTTGAAATTTCATTGCAGACTTAGAGGGAGACTAGAAGCAAGAGATAAATGGAAAAGGAAGACTAGGTTTTCTGCAGCTTCAACTGATGAGTTTAAAAACCAAAAATGAATCTCATATACTTTATTCTATATAGATCCTCCAAGTGCCTATACTATAAATACACAAACACGTATTTGTACATTTACAGTAAATACACAAATATACATGTTCAATGGCTGCGTGAATGACCTAATTTGATACAAAGGCAGGGAAAGAATATAACAAATGAAAATAAAATTACCCTAGAAAAGCCAGAAGGAATTCCCACAACTAGAAAGATGGGTCATATTCATTACAAAGGGTGCCTTGTAACATCTTACACTAACAAGTACAATTTGACCGTAGGTTTTTGTAGACCACACACATGTACAGTATCATCTGAAAGCTTATGGTTTCATTTTTTTTTAGCCTTTAGGAGGTCACTTTGGGATGACTCTAGAGAACTAAAAGAAACTAAGGGGAATAAAGCTGTATCTGGCACTGAAGATCTAGAAGTGGATCTAGAAAATTTGGATATTAACGATGATGTCCTTGGTCTGGATTGTGGGGATGAAGCAGAAGATCTCAGCGGAAAAAAAAGCTTCTTGATGAACAAGGTTAAAAAAGATGTGGAAAAATATTGTGGGAAGTCAGCCCCCCAGAGAAGAAAATATTAAAAGGGCAGAAAAATATATTTCCTCAAAGGATCTTAAAGAAGCAGAAAAGCATGCCCACTTTTTTCTTAATAGCCCCAAGTCTCCCTCCCCCAAGCAGAAACCAATTCTGTAGAAATGCAGATGTAAAGCATCCAGGAAGGTTGGAGGCCCCCAGCTAGAAGATTAAGAAGACAAAGACACCTAAAATCTACATACCCCACCCAAACTCTAAGACAGGACATAATAGGATTAACCCACAGATGCCAAAGGGCACACTCAGACTCAGGTCAAAGTTCATGCCACAGGAACAACTCCAAACAAAAGGCTCCAGAGGGTATAAAAACCCACTCCCTACATGTGCTCTGCCTCTTTTCTTCCAGAGCCATCTTTCTGTCTGGCTCTCCTCTTCAATAAACTGCAACCTTCTTTCTAAAGCAGTCACCATGTTGTTTATTCCCGGCTTGGACTGAACCATGATGAAGACTTTTTCCTTCAACAGTATATTGTTCTTATTAATATGCATAAATGTATCTAAACA